TACTGATACTTTATCTTTTGTATCTCCACTTTTAACACACCTATTGAGTGACATATTTTCTATCTTTATCTTTAATGAAAGCAAGTGCTACATTATTTGAAAAAAAACCCAACAAACAAACCAAAAACCTGAAAAATATCCAAACCCAAACCTGTTCTGTTCTATTTACATAACGAAGACCAGCGAGATTGTTTCAATACCTTCTGGACAAACAGACTCAAAAAAAAAATCAGTGTAACTTCTTTTTTTATTTTGTTCCTTGTATATCCTTGTAAAATATTTCAAAGCATTATCTTGCCTATCTCCTTTTTCAGTGTTACTTATTCAGTCAGATGCACTTTTCACTTTTAAATTATCACCATACAGTTGTTGATACATTAATTACTGCAATGACATTTTTAAGAGGCTGTATTGTGTATACTATTTCTACTCAATAGAATAGAATGTTCAGTTTTCTGCACTGTAACTAGGAGTTCTTAGAATATTTTGTTATCTTGGAAACTAATTATAGTTTACACATTGCCCTCCATTACATGAAGCCTTCACCAAGAATAACTAGAATGTGAAAGCTGTGGTCAAAACAGGAAAGAGAAACCCAAACTCCCCATCTTGTGTCAGAACTTTAATCACACAGCTGCATGCTGGTGTTTTTAAGGACAAGAAGAATCTCTTTAGGATAAAAATTTCTATGGGTTTACATTTGGAACAGGATTTGGGGTCTGGTGGTGTTTTCTGAAGCTCACAATTAGGCAACTGGTATTCAAAGGCCAAAATGACAATACATTTTATAGGCATAAAAATGAGCTTAACCTCAACAACGAGTTCTACTCTCATTGTTGGCCTGGATAAAATGAAGCACACAGATGACAATTACACTTCATTAATGAATGAGGGGTGCATCTAGGCGTGTAACTAAAACCACTGACTTGTACTGCTTTCATCTAAACAGCAGGACACGTTGCATGTGCACAACTTCCTTGAGTGTCAGCACCATAGACCAGAACCTATGATAAGAAAACTCCAGAAACTGAATGAATTGACGAGAAAGAAAACAATAGCTCCTGTGAGCTTATTTTATTGTCCCACCTGGGATTATGGAGCCTTGGTTATGGCTCAGTGGCTAAAGGAGGTAGTTTTGAATTATTAGGACTGCTTGCAACATAAACAATATTTAAAGGAGAAAGATGTCAGTTAGAAGAACAAGACACCTTGTGTTGTACAAATTCAAATAAACACAGCATTGCCAGCCAGTCAAGGGAGCTGACTGGACTGTTCTACTCTGTGTTGGTGCAGCCTCACCTCAAGACCTGTGTAGTTTTGGTCACTGCAGTACAAGAAAGATATTAAACACAGGAAAGACATTGAGGTGCTGGAGCAGGTCCAGAGAAGAGCAACCAGGCTGGTGAAGGGACTCGAGCACAAGTCCTGTGAGGAGAAGCTGAGGGAGCTGGGGTTGTTTAGCCTGGAGAAGAGGAGGCTCAGGAGTGACCTCATCACTCTCTACAACTTCCTGAAAGGAGGCTGTAGCCAGGTGGAGGTCGGTCTCTTTTCCCAGGAACTATCAGTAAGATAAGAGGGTACAGTCTTAAGCTCTGCCAGGGGACGTTCAGGTTGGATATTAGGAAGAAATTCTTTACAGAGAGGGTAATCAGGCATTGCAATGGGCTGCCCAGGGAGGTGGTGGATTCTCCGTCCCTGGAGGTGTTTAAGAAGAGAATGGACGTGGCACTGAGTGCCATAGTGTAGTAACTGTGGTGGTAGTGGATCAAGGGTTGGACTTGATGATCTCAGAGGTCCTTTCCAACCCATCTGATTCTATGATTCTACTAGAGAACATCCAAAGAGGACCATGAATATGGGGAAGGGCTTAGAGGGGAACCCTTATGTGGAGTGACTGAGGTAACTTGGCTTGTTCAGCCTGGAGGAGACTGGAGGGAGACCTCATATTAGTCTACAACTTCCTCAAGAGGGAAAGCAGAGAGGCAGCCACTGATCTCTTCTCTGTGGTGACCAGTGACAGGACCTGAAGCTGAGTCAGGGGAGGTTTAGGTTGGACATCAGAAAAAGGTTCTTCACCCAGAGGGTGGTTGGACACTGGAACTGGTTCCCCAGGGAAGAGGTCACAACACCAGCCTGACAGAGTTCAAGAAACATTTGATCAATGCTCTTGGCCACATGGTGTGACTCTTTGGGTGCCCTGTGCAGGGCCAGGAGTTGGACTCAATGATCCTTGTGGCTCCCTCTATTTTAGGTGTGTAAAATAAAATCTATTGTTAGGATGCCAGTATGGTTGACACACATGAGTGTGTGGTTGGAGACCCTGCAGGAAAATGCTCCTGAGTGGCACATCTGAGGGGACCTGGTCAAAGCACAATCCTGTGAATGCCTGCAGAGCCCAGCCTGGAGCACAAGCTAAGTTAAAACACTGAAATGCACAATCAGTCTCACAAAGCAGAAGTGCTATGAGAAGATTACGAAAGAGACATGCCACAGTATCACAGAATATGCTGAGTTGGAAGGGACCCACGAGGATCATTGAGTTCAACCCTTGACCCTGCACCAAAGTCACACCACGTGACCCCAAGAGTCACATCATGTGCCTGAAAGTATCATCCAGATGCTTCTTTAATTCCGTCAGGCTTGTTGTTGTCAACGCTTCCCTGAGGAGTCTGTTCCAGTGTCCAAAAGCTCTCTGGTTGAAGAACCTTTTTCTTGTATCCAACCTAAACCTCCCCTGACACAACTTCAGGCCATTCCCTCGGCCACATCATGTCCCCACTGATATGATGAAAGTGTGCAATGCCACTGTCTGGATTAAGAAAGAATGATAAAACACATTGAGAAAGTGCCACTATTGATAAGACTTAGAAAAGCAATGTCAGGTAAAAAGAAGAGACGGGATGTCAATTGTCAAAGCCTACAGATCATACACAGTCTGAAGGAAAAAGGAGTCTTGAGGACTTTTCCGCAGAAACATTGACGGAGCTGTAAAATGTGGGCAATGGAAATCAGCAAGCCAGAGATATTACCAAGAAGTGTGAGTGGATAAGTGGATACTTGTGTTTGTGAGCAACTACAGTTAGTCATACCACAGATACACTTCTCTCCTTAACAATCTCATTTATAGAAGACATATGTTAATGTACAACTACTAACATCAGCTAATACACGTGAGAAGCAACTGTATCACTGGAAAAGGGGGTTACAACACTGCGGTTTTCTGAAATGAGAGAAGACTGAAGGGACACAGTGACAGTGGTCTTTGAGTACCTAAGAGGCCATTCTCTGGGTATGAAGGATGGCAAGACAAAAATAAAACAAGTGACTGAACTGCAGTAAGGCAGACATCAGGAAAACCTCAGCATAATAATGAACAAGGCTGGATTCCTTGTGGAAGCTATGGAATCCCCGGCAGTGTAGGTTTGAAATGGCAGCTTGGACAAAAGCTATCACAAAAAAAAAAGAAGTCACATATAACCAACCTCCTCTATGAACAGAGGCAAACAAGGTGGACTTCTGAGATCTCATCCTGGCTCTTTATACGATTTTATGGCTGTAGTAGAGGTTAGCATAAACATAGTATTTTGATCATACAAGAAGCACGCTTTAAGGGAGATGTTACAATGGCAAACAAACTACAGAAATTCACAAAAATGGGCTTAACAATGTTATAAGTTACTATAAATTACCAGTTCAGCAGAACAGTGAAGCATAGTTCTTGCATCTTACAGATTTTAGGTTTAAGGACACAAAACACCCAGTCTTGAGGCCCTGAGGAAATATTAAACCAAACTGATGACATCTATAACAACAGAATAAACCCAGATCTAAAAAAAGTCAGTAATAGGGAGGGGTGTGCTGCAGGACAGCACAAACTCTCACACATACCACAAAAAGCAAGGCATCTCTAAACTGCTCTGCAGGAAAAAACTATTAATGGACACTTCCTGAAGAATTGCTGTTGGTGATTAAACACCTCAGTGTGTGTTTCGCTTATGGAGGGAGTCTAATGTGAATTGGATATACCATTACTAAGACTTAGTGACCCCATTTGTCACTGTGGTAACTGCACACAGATTGCCTGTCTTTGACTAAAGCAAGCTCCATTTCTCCAAGGCTTTTAGCTGTCTGCAGCTGCTTGAATGAAGCCTTCCTGTTGACTCCCATGGGCACCCTGGGGTGCTTATGTCAGTTCCTGGTGCTATCCCTTTTAATCTTAATGTACACCTGTCACACCCCTCAGATTTTCTATTCAATATCACCTTCCCCTGAAGGCTCCTTCAGGCTGAATAACTTGTGTTTATTTATTTATTATTACAGCGAAATAAGCCGTGCCCACTGACTTGATGGTTCTGTCTTGAAAAGCCTGAAGAGCAAAAAGCCAAGTGGTTTGAAAGCCAGCCTTTCCAAGTTGCACACTTTGCAGCTGGACACCATAAAATCTATTTCATGGTTCTTGTAAGAACCAGACGATCCTCAGAAAGAGCCCTTCTGAGCTAACAGCCTATGAAACAACGTACCTCCACATCTAAGATTTGCTATAAGATTTCCCAGAATTTAAAGACATAGAGCGACCGTTTAGAGCTTTCGGCTTTGGTTGCGCTGGTTTCTCACAAAGTCTGCCGCCGTATCCCGGACAAGTTGTTCCGCGCAGGCAAGTGACGGGCGAGGGGAGCAGTGTGGTGTCCGCTGCTCTGCCCGCCCGCAGCACGGTCCTCAGCGCCAGCCGGTGCTGCCCGGGGCTCCGGGGGCGCTCCCAGAAGTGAGCGCTTCCCGCAAGCGTGGTGCGACCGCGGCAGCGTGTCTTTGACAGCGGAAGGTAAAAAGGGAGCAGCGAGGAGACAGGACCGTGCCCGGCACCGGCAGGAGCCCGCTGTGAGCCCGGGAGCTGGGGAGGAGGAGAGGGGCTGCGTGTTCCCGGTCCCCCGGCCCTGACCCCGCCACGGCCGCCCCGGTGCCCACCCGTCCAGCCGCCGCCGCCAGCGCGTCCCGCTGCTCACCGATAGTAGAAACGACGGTGCCCACGAAGTAGAAAGCACCGGTGAAATCCCATCGGGGCCGGATGTCATCGACACGGATGCCGGCCACGTTGGCCTCCTCGTACTCCCGGAGAAAGCCCCAGAGCTCGGCGCGGCTGAGGTTGTGGCGCCGCGTGAAGTTCTCCAGCCGTTCCTCCCAGCGCTCCTTGGCCTCCCGCTCCGTGGGCAGCTCGATGGCCGAGAAGACGGCGGCGCCGCACAGCATGTAGAGCAGGATCAGCACCGCCAGCAGGAGGAACCGCGCGTTGTCCGCGTTCAGGCGACCCGCGCTGGAGCAGCAGCAGCCGCCGCGACACGCCATCCTCCGCCCCGCGGGACCGGGCTCCGCGCCGCCACGCTACGTCGGGGCCCCGCTGCCGCCGCCGGGCATCACGGCACCGCCCGCCCGCCCTGCGCGGGGCTCAGGGCGCCGCGGGGCCCGGCGGCGGCGAGCGGCGCTCCGGGGAGCCGGCCGGCACCTCCGCCCCGGGGACAGGGCGCTGCCCCGCCACGGCCCCGCGGCGGACGCGCTTCGGGCTGCAGCGCATCCTGCGGGAGAGGCAACAGCCCGTCCCCGTCCCGTCTCGCAGAGCCTCTCAGCCCCACAGCCCGCCGCGTCGGGTTCCCGTGCCCGGCAGTTTCATATCCCCTTCCTGCCCCCGCCCCGAGCACGTCGGAGCGGGGCGCAGGGAAAGACACTGCCAGGCGCCTCCTGCCTGGTGGCGGGGGCGAGGCGAGATCCGCGGCAGCTCGCCCCGCCGCCCTCCCCCGCCACCGCGGGGCTCCTCGGCCCGGGTCGCGCCCCCGAGGGTGTCCTCCGCCCCCCACCAGGACAGCTCCCCGCGGCAGAGGCGCGGCCGCCAACCCCGAGGGTGTCTCCGGAGCTCCGGGACAGCAGCTGGCAGGGCGGGCCGCCCCGCCGCCTCCACCTGTCACAGGGACAAGGGGGGCTCCCCCTTCCCTCCCGGCATGTGCCCAGCCCCGGTCGTAGGGCCGAGGGGTGCCCCGGACAAAGGGGCCTCTTAGAGAGATCAGGAGTGAAACCCTTCAGTCGATGATATGCCTCCGGTATCGAAGCCATAAAAATTTCCGCCCTTTGCCAAAGACCTTCTCCACAGGTCTGGTTACCCATCGCCTTCCCAGCAAGGTGTTACATCTTCATCCTCCAGCGCTGGGCAGTCGAAGGGAAATAGTGTAGGGAAGACAGAGGCAGCTTTCCAGCTGCAATGTGGTTTAAAAAGGCATTATTTACAGGTCCAAAGAGCTCTTGAACCAAATATTCTGGAAATAATCTTTCTATAAGAAGAAAAAGCTTAACTCAGCAATATCTGACAGTTACTACAGTGTTGAATTCTACTTTAAAATAATTGCAGGCTGGAATTCAGCTCTGTTAAACATAGTAGCATATAAACACTTTCCAGTGAAAGACAACCTACATATGTTTTTTTTAGAAAGCAGGTTAATTAGCTATTACAGTAACATCTACTCCCCTTCACCTCTTGTCTATTAATTATGTTGCAGTCAAAATGCAATGGGAATGAACACTAAGGTCTTAGCAATCAGAAATCTTGCACAATGGCATATAATGGTTGTAACAGCCATTAATGGTCTCACAGCCTGAGATATATTTGGTCATTGGTCTGAGCCCTGGGGGTGCACTGTGGGCACTTCTCTGCCAGCGTTTGGGAGAGGGTCCCCAGCTGTGTGGCAACAGCTGCTTGGGCAGCAGGGATGGGGAAAAGCCACGTCCTTTCCTCGTGTTGCACACTAAACCAACAGCTGAGGATGAATAGGATTCATGCATCCTCATAATTTTTTTTCTATTTGTTGTTATTCATAGGCAATACATCATGTTCCAGGTTTTTATTCCCTCATCATTAGTCTTCAGTATAGGCTGATATATGGCAATCAAAATTAGCAGCAATGCTGGAAGACACTAAATAGTGAAAAATAGACAAATGAGATGCCAGTCAAACTAACCAGACTCTGTGCCAAGTGCTAAAGGTAACCACATGCTTCCATAAAGAGTGCTGGTGTATCTTTAGAATTATTGATTGTTCCTGTTAGAGAAAAAAAAAAAAACCAACCAATACTTCCCTGCTTTGCCAGTCTTTGCCAGCCAGAAAGAAGACAACTCAACCAGTGTGCTCCCAGCCAGCATAGGCAGCAGAACTAACTGAGCACCCTCAGTCCACACCGAAATCCCCACCCATCAAAATTGTTCTAGGGTGGCTTGGGTTAGCACAGTGGGAGAAAGAGCCTTTAACTGCTTGCAACCATGACATCAATGTGACTGCCCAAAGGACTGTGAATAACAATCCCACTATCCTAAGGATTATCCAAGGAAAATTATTCAAGGTTATTAAGTTCCTCCTTATTTACACATTATTTTGTTAGTGTGGAATAGTTATCTTGGGGTTGGTCTTGGGCATAGAGGGAGTTAGTACATAAGTGCAGGTAAAAACATCTGGCACAGTTTTCAAAGAGAGGGAAGTTTACTACTGGCACTGGTCATCAAAAGTTGCATGATCCATTAATTTGTCGAATTTGATCTTCACCAAATTAAAACACTATGAAGGATACGCAGTGATTTAATCACCTTTCAAAAAAGCGGTTTTTTAAGGGATAGACCAAGAGTGAGTTAATATTGACTGGAACCCTGAAGAAGAAAATGAGAAGATGGCTGGCAAATATCATAGGCATGGCACCTTTTGTTGTTTTAAGCTTCTTTTCTTCCTTTATTCCCCTGTTTTAATTAAGGTACTTATTCTAAAGAATACTTTCTTGTAGCAAAGGTCACCACTTCCATTGCTCTTGGGTAGGTACCTGGAAAAACTGGAGTGTGGGGAGAGAACAGTGTAATGATGCCATCACACATTCAGATAATTTAAGCAAGGCTGAATAAAGAAATGCAAGGTGTTCACTGGCATAAGCTAAAAAATAAAAGTAATCTTTTAGTTTCAGGTAGAAAAAGTTGTTAAATATGTTGCTGACATTTAAATTAACCCCAAACCAAAGTTTGCATCTTGAAAACCTGAGCCCTGAAAGCATTGCCATTAACCTCAGTGCAGCCATTTGTGGCACCATTATCAGGAAACCTGCTACGTCTGCCTTACCCCTCAGCATCACAAGCACACCTGGTGTCTGTGTGTGTGGGCATTTAGTGACAACAGATTGGTGGTGGTGAGTCTTAGCACCATTATAAAATAATAGGAAAAAAAATCAATGTATTTACTCATTCTGTTGATAATGTTGAATGACAACCTTGTAATTAAGAAAGCTACACTCACTGATTACCAACAAATGTCTGGTCAGAATAGAGTTATTATTAATGCATCATCAAATTATTTGGAAGACTCATGCAGGGATTTAGTTACTCTCACTCTTTGATAGGGTCAGTACTTTTTAATTAGGGAACTCCTTTGGAAGTGATTAGCTGGTACACTTAACCAAAAATCACTAATTATCTTGGGAGGAGCTATGGGAGAGCTAAAACTTACTCGTGAGCAAACTTTATTCATAATGAAATATTCTACCAGAGGAGCAGGAGTATGAAATAGGGAATTATGGAATTATTTAGGTTGAAGAAGATAAGATCATTTAGTCCAATCCACAATCATTAACCTAACATCACCAAGTCCACCAGTAAACCATATCCCCAAGTGCCACATCTACACATCTTTTAATCCCTCCAGGGATGTTAACTCCACCACTTCCCTCGGCAGTCTGTTCCAGTGCCTGACAACCCTCTGTGAAGATTTTTTCCTAATATACAATCTAAACCTCATCTGGTGTAACTTGAGGCCATTTCCTCTTGTCCTGTCACTTGTTACCTGGGAAAAGAGATCAACCCCTACCTTGCTACATCCTCGTTTCAGGTAGTTGCAGAGAGTGGTAAGTTTCCCTGGAGCCTCCTTTTTTCCAGGCTAAGCACCCCCAGCTGTCTCATCTGCTCCTCATACAATTTGTGCTCCAGATCCTTCACCAGCTCTGTTGTCCTTCTCTGGACATGCTCCAGCACCTCAAGGTCTGTCTTGCAGTGAAGGGCCCAGAACTGGACACCTGGTTTGAGGTGTGGCCTCACCAGACTGAGCACAGCAGGGCGATCACTGCCCTGGTCCTGCTGGCCACACTATTTCTCATACAAGCCAAGATACCATTGGCCCTCTTGGCCACCCGGGCACACTGCTGCTCACGTTCAGCTGGAATGTTGATCCTTGCCTTCACAAACCAGAAGGCACTTAGAAGTTAAGATGCTGAACCTGGCTATATAAAATATTTTCAAAAATGAGAAATGTGAAAACTTTTTCCATCTCTTTTACTTCAGTCACTGAAGTGTGACATTTTAGTCCTCTTGGGGAAGACATTAATTCATTTACAGTTAGGGTAGGCCCCTTAGGCGCCCTTTTATTTGAAAATATTTGCAAATTAATTTCTACAATTGGAAAAGTGAGGCAGAGGTAGACAAGGCTTAGAAGCCCCTATAAAGGGCTCCTAAAGAGCTGACCTCAAGAACAATTTCCACTTTTGGAAGCCACTTTGCACTTGCATGCTGTTTATCTTCCAGCATTTCAAGAGATAAGAAAACCACCGTGGGGCTGACAGTTTAGTTCCTCAAACTGCTTACCAACCAACCACAATTCAGAGGCAATAATTTGCATTTAAGGGAGAACCAAGACACACAAATCAACTTGTTCAAAGACAGAACAGAGCCAGAAAAAAAGTTGGTAAAAGAATCCAGGAGCCTCCAAACATTCCTCCATCCTAAACAGTGGAAAATATTTTCAACTAAAGGATGAGCTTATTACATTGATTAATACAATGGGATCGTAATACCTTGAAAGCATTACAAACATATTTAGAGAGCAGTGACTGGGAATTAGTTTGAGTAGTGATAAATTTTTGATAAACCAAGAAGCAGAAAAGCTAGTATATTACAAAAAGAAGAAAAGCCAAGGATAGAAAAACTGGAGATTAACATAGGAACTTCTCTGAACTTACTCAGCTCCTTTCAGCCTCCAGTACTTTCCAGTTTCTTTCTTTGCCCTTCAGGATGCCAGTTACAGTTGCTCAGACTAAACGAAACTCAGATGTAAGAGAGAGGGAATAGTGCGACCACTGTCAGTGTTCAGCTAAAATTCTGACATCCTGGGGCACTGATTAATTCCACAGCTGTAAGGTGTCAGCAACTTTATTGATGCCAGTAGAAATATCTGTGGGATTAGGTAGCATCTAGCACCATAAAGAACATTACATCTCCATTCTAGCTTCTGTCAAACACACACATTTAGTACCCAGAGTGTGAAACAAAAAAATTAGTAG